AATTTAAATAACGGGAACTCCAGCTAGTTATGTTATAGAGAGTTAATTAATTAAAAGGTAATTTTACTTTGTCTAAAAGGGTATTTATAGACTCATATTAATGTTTTAGCAACTAAAGAACACACTTACATCTAGTATGCAGCCCGAAATTTGGCGAGGCTATATCTACACAGTAGAGGTCTTTAGACGGGTTGTTTAACCCTCGTGCTTATAAGGTACCATACATGTTGAGATTCCATTTCGAAGGATAATAGATAGAGCTTGTGATATAAACAAATAGAATAATCACCCGCAGCTCCAAAATATTAGGGCCCGGCATGGCCAGTTGGTTAGGGGGCGCTTGACTCGCAATCTGAGGGTTGCGGGTTCGAATCCCCGTTCTACCAAAACATTCTCGCCCTTTCAGTCCGAGGGGTCGTTATAACGTATCGGTCAATCCCACTATTCGTTGGTAAAAGAGTAGCCCAAGAGTTGGCGGTAGGTGGTGATGACTAGCTACCTTCACTCTAGTCTGTCATTGCTAAATTAGGGACGGCTAGCACAGATAGCCCTCGTGGAGCTCTGCGCGAAATTCATAACAAGCAATTAAAGAACACACTTAAATCACGTTTTCTCAAGTCAAAATTTAAACCTTAAATGTTTTGGTAATTTTTCAGAACAGTAAAATCGATTGTTTGTAATTAAGCCCAAAGCTACACAATGGGCTATCTGTGCTCTGCCCACTACGAGCATCGAAACCCGGTTTCTAGCGTTGTAAGCCTGCAAACGTATCGCTGTGCCACTTGGGGACCAGTAAAATCGAATTAAATATATTTATTACTTATTTTCGGACATTATAAGTACCACTAATGGCTCTATAGTGCGTATGAAGGCTTATAACGCTAGAAACCGGGTTTTGATACCTGTGGTAGCGCAGCACAGATAGCCCATTGTGTATCTTTGTACTTAACAACAAATAAACAAAAATGCATAATTAAGAAGCCAGAAATAATAATTTACGACGGTTATTAGGCACATTGGTGAAGGTATTTGGGTAAAATGAATAAGGGATGATGTGTAACTGTTTTATTTTATGGTAGCCTATCTTTAAAAAACAAACAAATAACTTGAAAACAATGCTATTTTTCTAACTATTCTGAGCCCTTACGAATACCTTTTTTAAAGTAATATTTAAATAAATATCACTATTTCTAAGATCATGTCGGGAATTTACAATGTGCTCACATAACACAGCTGTTTCAATATTTTCTACAGGTTTTTGTTGTTTTAAACCACCTGAGTTCACTGTTCTCTCTTTTAGGGCTACACCACTTTTTCTGTAACCTGATTTCTAGTTTGATATCTTCATTTAAACGGATATAAGTAAAAACAAAAAAAAAAGGAAAAATACATCCCTAGTGTGAAAACCCTTAAGTTTTGTGTTTCACTTACAAGAATGAAAACAGTTTAAAAAGTATGAAAGATATAAGAATTATGCCTAACTTACTTTAAAAAAACCTTTGCATCCTTCACAGGTCCTCACACCGTAATGCTGGCAGGCGGCGTTATCCCCACAAACAGCACACATCTGGGAAGGGGATGGCGCCGAGGAAGAGCAACTGGATGTAGACTTAGGAGTGTCTGGAGTGGAAGGAGATTGTAGGAGCCCTCCCAGGCTGTTTAAAAATGGAAAAACAAAGATGATAGTTATTTTAACATGTCTTTATTAAACATTTATGATCGTTAATTTCTGTAAATTTGAAACAGATTATCAAATTTTTCTATACTTTAGTCAATATTATTTCTTCGCGTATGTTACAATGTTGTTTAAAAATATATTTTCCAATGTATTAGACGTCTTAAGTACACCAAAATTGACAACATTCACGAAGAAGATATGAAACGTACGTATATATATATCTTTTGAAATGTATAAACGTTTTAAATTATTATCATAATACCGAAATGCTAAAACTAAAGTATCGTAAAAACTGCAATTGAAACTTCTACTGCTTAAACGTTCTTTTATACTAATAGCTGTCATAAATTTTATTCTGTATATTTTATTATATCCACCCACCTTGTATCTAACGGTAGTGGACTTGGGATTATCAAGGACGGCCTCTTACGACCTTTATTGTTGAAACGTGACGTCGCGCTATGTTGATACGAAGCTATTGGGGGAGAAGAAGGTCCTGGATTGGAAGAAAACTTGCTCGTGTCCACAAAAGAAGACATCTGGAGTGATGAAGGAAAACCATTTTGTTGGTAAGGCGTACGAGTTTGATGCTGTACTAATGCAATTTCTTGAAAAGATGGGTCTGAGCTTGTGGCATGACTGCAGGTGTAAGGAGTGGGTAACGTTACTGCTGAGCTGAACTGTGTCCGGTCAGTACATTGTTCTTTGTAAAAGTTAACTTCTGTTTCGAGGAGGTGTGTTAAAGGAAACGTGGGACACTGTGGTGGGGTGCTCTGTGGTTTTCCTAAAGGATCTTGGAACGCATCCTGCGGTCTTTGGGGTTCTAGGTTCTGTTGAGACATCTCTTCATATTTGAAAGAAAATACATCTTGTTCAGAGAGGTCATGACGATATCTAGGAGAATATGTTTCTTGGAAGCTTGGCAAGGACAAGGAGGCAGAAACGGTGTCTGAAGAAGGAGATTCCATCAAATATGTCTGGTTTGTTGCACTGACTCCATAACTTAATTCTGAAAAATCAGCTTGAAACATGTCTTCAATAGAGTTATCTGATTGTGGCACTAAGCTCTCTACTGTTGCACTAAAGTCTACTGAAGGAAATTTAAAATCTTCTCCAAAGAAACTCTCTTCTGAAAATGGGACGTCGTACTCTGGTACCAGAAGACTTCCAGCTGTACCAAAGGGTAAATTCTGTCATTGGATGTAAGAAAAAGGAATTAATGTGACGAGTTTTAAACAGAAACGAAACTTAAGTAAAACACATCCTATACTTATTTTCGATGAATTATAGACAACTTGGATACTCATCTTTCAAGTTAACTATATTATTTCGCATTCTAAATTATGCTTCAAAAAGTATAAAATGTCTCAAAATATTATCTGGATATTTAATTAGAAAAAATCGTTTCTTTTGGAGATTTTTTTTCATTATTTTTCTAGTATTATTACTTGTCAGAAAGTAATCACTTTATGTGCTTTTGGTCACTATTTATTTATCCAATCTTTCGGTAAACTAAACATTGGACATAATAAAAAATAACGTTAGATATTTAGCAATATAAATTCATATTTAAATTGTTATTGGCTATTTGATTTGTTTTAAAAATGTTCATTAAGAGAATAATATTTATTTAAAGTGTAATGCGTTTTAAAGAAGGGTTTAGTCCCCATTTTATTTAACTCGTAACAAAAACAAACAAATATATATAAACATAGATAAAGACTATCCAGGACAATAACTATACGAATATGTATTTCAAGATAATCGACAAATTCGCAGATATTTTGTTTATTCTTTGATATCAGCTCGTTTCTTATCATAATTGTATACGTTCTGATTTGGTTTACTGTTCTTACAGACGACAGCTAAAAAGATAATACGAGATGAATATCACCAACTAACGTCAGAACTCGGGTAAGATCTTAAAAAGATCTTGTCCTGTTCTCACAAAGTAAATTAGCAAAAGACTCCTGTAAATAGAGATAATAGATTTAGCAACTTTGTTTTCCTACTTGGATTGTAATTGATGAAAGTAATATCGTATATTTGATTCCTGAATAATATGTCAACCAATTATAACCAATTTAGTTGATTTTAAATAATATGTTAACCAATTATAACCAATTTAGTTGATTTTAAATAATATGTTAACCAATTATAACCAATTTAGTTGATTTTAAATAATATGTCAACCAACTATAACAAATTTAGTTGATTTTAACATTTTCTACATCTATCGTAGATAAGTTCGACATACTGGTTTATTGTCACTTCCTTGATAATTCTGTGAGTATTAAACAATATTAGAATACGATATATGGCCTGCATAATTTACATAAAATACGATGTTTTGATTATAGAATGTAATTATGTCCTGCATAATTTACATAAAACACGATGTTTTGATTATAGAAGGAAATCGTGACCTGCATAATTTACATAAAACACGATGTTTTGATTATAGAAGGAAATCGT